CTCTCTATCGCTCTCCCTTGCTCTCTTTCTCTCTCTCTCTCTCTCTATTACTCTCGCTCTCTCTTGCCCACCCTCTCGTGCGCTCTCTCTATCACTCTCGCTCTTTATTCCTCTCTCTCTCTATCTCTCTCTAAAGCTTTCCCTCTTGCTCTCTCGCTCTCTCAAGCTCACTCTCTCTATTGCTCTCGCGCTCTCTCCCTGTCACCCTCCAAACAGAACGATTTCAAGACCCTCACGCTCATTTTCAAATCCCTTCAGGCACTGACACCTCCCCTAACTCTCCGACCTGCTTGAACCCCCCTCCCCACCCCCAGCCCACAACCTGTTGCCATCCTACTCGACTGGCTCTATCCATCAGTGGCCACACTTTCAGCCGCTACGCCCCGAAACTTTCGAACACTCTCCCTCTCTCAGTCCGACTTGCCCCCTTCCTTCCCCGCCATCAGTTCGCACCTGAAGACCTTCCTCTCCGAGCGTGCCTACGGTCACCTCCCGGCCCTCCCGCTCCCCCCCCCACCACCCTCTTGTCGTCCTCCGCCACTCTCAAGCGCTCTGGGATGCTGTCCTGAGTGACGGGCGCTGTGTAAAAAAAATACAGCTGCTGCTGTCGCAATATATGACATGAAGAAAAGACACTGCGGTGTCTCAAAGGTAACTGGTAAATTGGAAATCTCACCGAAAGATACATTTGGAATGAACTCTAAGCGAACAACTTCAACATAATTATTGGGCAAAGTGTTTTATTCACAAAGTCAGTGACATGGTACCACACACACACACACACACACGTGCATATATATACTATGTGCATATATACACACAGTCACAGCATGCGTGTACATGCACACATATAATTTAAGATCTCCGAGACACTGTCCCGCACGAAGGGCACTATATAATTGAAAGCTGTTGTTGTTGTGGACACATACACTATCACACAGAACACCGTATGGATTGGTACGTATGTGTACAAACACACCACGTGTACATAACTACACCATACATGTCACAAATCTAAAAAACATTCAATGTACAGGATTTGTTACAGCGACTATGAAAACAGCCTCAATGCGCTTCACAGAGAATTGCTCTAAAATCTGAGCTCATTGGATCAGCAAACATACATAGATACACACACACATACATACACACACTCACATACATACACACACATGCACGCACACACATACACACACACTCACATAGTACAAAGGTAGTTTGTGACATATGTGCATGTGATCACCAGGAATGTGGAAGGCGAACTAGATGGACCTTGGTCTTTTTTCGTCTAGTATTTCTTATGTTCTTATATACACACACGCGCACACACACTCACATACATACACACACATACACACTCACATACATATACACTCACATACATAAACGCACTCACATACATACACACACTCACATACATACACACATTTATACACTCACTCACATGCACACACACATTTACATATACACTCACATACATACATACATACATACACACACACACACTCATACATATACACTCACACATATCCACATGCATACACACACTCACATACATACAAACACTCACATACATGCACAGACACACTCACACGCAAAGCGTATATTAGACATCATCTATGCAGGACCATACAATTTATAATAATAATAATCCTTGCATTTGATATAACGCCTTCTCACGACGTTGAGACGTCTCTAAGCGCTTCACAGAATGTAGAGTAAAGTGAACTGACTGCGTACTTTGGGGGCGAAACGCGGAAGCCCGTTGCGCACGGCAGGCATGGATGGACTGAGTGACCACATTTTGTTTTAGAGTGATTATTTACCCCCAGAAAGAGATCCGCCAATTGACTGACAACCGGGTTCCTACTTACTGCTGGGGAAACAGAGGCGTGTGGAGTAAGGAAACTTACCTGAGATTTTGCCCCGCCCGGGAATTGAATCCTCTCTCTCTTGTGAGGTGAGGGACCCAAGCACTAACCTACAGGATTCCACGTTCACATCTGCACAGCAACTTTCATGTCGGGCGGATGTCACAAAGTCTGTCTACGGGATGGGCCCCTGAGCTGCATTATTATCATTGTGCTTAATAACAATAATGAATAATATAACGACAGTTTGCATTCATATAGCGTCCCTCACGCAGGGTAGTGTTCCAGAGCTTTTAATAACATACTTATTATTGTAGTGTTTGCAACATAACTCGGTTCAGAATTTGTGTGAAAGTGGAGTCAGTTTCAGGATGTATTTAGTATTGATAATTCTGAGCTTCAGAATAATAAAAATAATAATAATAAATAATAATAATAATAACTACTAATAATTAATTCTCAGTTTATTATAACAGTATATTAAGATGTAGATTTCAGGATTCAACCTCTCCAGTGGATGGATAAAATCGATCAGTCAATCCACAACTGTTTGTGGGACGCTGCTGTGTGCAATTGGCTGCCGTGTTTCGCCCACAAAATATATAGTCAATTCACTTGACAGTATATTCTATGAAGCGCTTTGAGACGTCTCAATGACACGATAAGGCGCCATATCAAATGCAAGGATTATTATTACTATAAACCCATTAAGTGCATTTTCTTTATTGCTGCTGTTGTCTGGTTGTGCATAAAGGGATATGGTTCGGGACATGTTAATGTGGCAGACAGTTATCTTATTGCAGCCTGCGGGAAAGAAAGAGAGGAAAAGAAAAGTGAGAGGGAGAGAGAGAGAGAAGAAAAAGAATGACAGAGAGAATGAAAGAAAGAGTGAGAGTGGAATGACGATAAGAGAGCAAGGAGAGCACTAAGGTGAGCAAAAGAGTGTGAAAATCAAGGAACGAAAGAGTGTGCGAGAGAGAGAAAAAAGGAGAGCGGGACCGATCGAAGGCTATGGAAAGGATTAGAGAGAGAGAGTAAGTAAGAAGGAAAGAAAAAGAAGACAGATTGAGAGAGAGAGAGAGAGAAAGAGAAAGAAAGAAAGTGACAGAGAGAGTAAGAAAGAAAGAAAGAAAGAAAGAAAGAAAGAAAGAAAGAAAAAGAAAGAAAGAGAGAAAGAGAGAAAGAGAGAAAGTAAGAACGAGAAATAAAGAGAGAGACATTTTTAAAAAAGTAAACACAGCGTAGAAAAGAAATTGAGGGAGGAGGGGAGGGGGCGAGGGTGGGAGGGGAGAGTGTGGCTGTAATAAAAAATGTGTAGTTTGCATTCAGTAACCATCCTTCCCTTTACCTTGTCTAATCCCATTGCTTGAAGCTACGTCTCTTATTTTTGTGCTGGGAAAAACAGGAAATCAAGCTTTGGGGATCTTCCCCTTGTGTGTATGTGTGTGTGGGGTTGGGGGGGGGGGCGGGGGTGTGGGGTGGCGGTTTGGGGGGCGTGGGGTGGGTGCTCAAACTTCACCCGTCCAGTGCTCTGAGACACTACCCTGCTTGAGGAACGCTGGATAAATCCAAGTTGTTGTTGTGGTTGTTGTGCGACCCAGACTTGCTGGTGATGTGGGCGAGATTGGAGGTTGATGGGGTGGGGGGGGGGGTGGGAGGGTGGAGAGGAGGGGGTGGGTGGAGAGGAGGGGGTGGGAGGGGAAAGCGAAGGGGTTTTTCCCCTCGTTCTTATTTCTATATTTCTCTCTCTCTCTCTCTCTCTAATATTTTTTGGCAGACTTCTGGAATGTCTGAGAGCTTGGCTAATGGTTTGGGGAAGGAGAAGGAGGCGGGGGGAGTAGGGGTGGTGGTGGGGGGGAAGGGAGGGAGCGCGTTTGGTGGGGTGGGGGGGTGGGGGGTGGGGGTGGTGTTTGTGGGTGTGTGCGCGCAAAACTTGGTTCGAAACTTTCCGAAAAGAGAGAGCGAGGGAGAGAGAAAGTGATCGAATTTTTTTTCTCTAAAAACAAAACCCACAGAAATGTAAACACGTCTGCAGGGAGAGAAAAAAACAGCGGGTTTGGGGGGGGGGGGGGGGGGGGGGGGAAGACGAAGGAAAATAACTGCAAGAACAGGAATAAGACTATAACGCTCAAACGTATACGTTTCAAACCAACTCTGAGACGTGTCGTTCGCAAAAGCTGTTTAGAAGTCACTGATAGAGTTAACAGCTGCCTCACATTTCAGCTGTTAATAATAATAATCCTTGCATTTGATATAGCGCTTTTCACGTCGGGAGGACGTCCCAAAGCGCTTCACAGAACACACTGTAAAGTGAATTGACTGTATATTTGTGGGCGAACGCGGCAGCCAATTCAACTTATTAAACGCTTTTCCCTTCACGGTTTGCAATCGCACCTTTTTTTCTCAGCATCCAAACCGTCTCTGTATCCTCTCCTCTCATCGTTTTCCTCTGTCCGTCTTTCCTCTCCTCTCCTCTACCTCTCTCTCTCTCTCTCTCTCTCTCTCGCTCTCTCTCTTTTTCCTTTCCTGGATCGCTCTCTCTCTCTCTCTCTCTCTCTCTCCCCTTGTTTCTAAAAACAAACACGCACGCACACACATTTTTTCCCGTTAAAACGATGCTTCCTCTGTGCCGTGACTTTGAACGCAGTGCTCGGTCCCACCGGACTTTCGAGTTTGACCCCAGCGCCGTACGGCGTCGTCGAGACGCCTGAAAGCGCTTTCGCAGAACTGTACTGACCGTAAAGTGGATCGACCGCGCATTTTGTGGGGCGAAACGCGGCAGCCAATTGCGTCCCCCACACAAACAGAGTCGTGGATTGACTGACTGCATTTATTTTTACTTGGGGGATCGTTGGCCAGCACATCGGGGGGGGGAAAGAAACTCCCTTTATTTATTGCCGCTTTCGCAAACACTTCTGTTCCCTCAATTCTCTCCTTTTTTCCCCGCAGATTTTCCCTTTCGCTCTCTCTCTCTCTCTCTCTCTCTCTATTCCCCCCTCCCTTTCCCTCCTCTCCCCTCCCCTTGCCTGACTCATTTTTCATATCCCTAGGTTTATGTCGTTCTCGTCTCCCTCTCACGCTCTTTCTCCTTCTTTCTCTCTCTCTCTCTCTCTCTCTTTCTCTCCCTCTGGGTTTTGTCTGCCTGTGTTAGTGTATGGGGAGTCTGGGCACTCTCAGTGATCCGTGATTGGAGACTTGAAGGAAACAAGGAATTTCATTCACTGACTCGCTCTCTCTCTCTCTCATTCACAACGCTCACACACACACACACACACACACACACACACATCCACAGCTCTCTAACTCAGTGACTCCTGTAAGCCGTAATAAGTAAGTACCTTTCTTATAAGTTTACAATTTAGAATAAATTCACGTTGCCAACTGAGTTCGTTTATCCAAATGGTTTATATTTCTTGAAACCAAAATTGCATCAAAACTTTTTTTTTTGCAGGGGAGGGAATTTGTGGTGGTGGGGGGGGGTGGGGGTGTGAGGTGGGGGCTGTGGGTGGGGGGGGGGTGAAAGAGAGAAAGTTTTTGAGAGCAAAAAAAGTCTTAAGGAGGAAAAAAGTTTTCGAGAGGGAGAATATGTTTTGGAAAGTTTTGCAGAGAAAAAAAAGGTTCGAAACGTTTTGTTTTAAAGTTTTTCTTTGCACCGTAATTTTATTTTTTTGGGTGGGGGGTCGGGGGTGTGAGGGGCGGCGATGAGGGTGTTATTTACTGTGCATTTGTTTCTTAAAGTGGCCGATATAGATGTTTTGCCTGTCGTCTTTCGAAGTAAATGTTGTCAGGCAAAATTATCGGGGTTGAAATAGTCTGATGTGTTTATTTCCCCCACTATACAACATACAGTCACTCCACTTCATAGTAATATTCTGTGAAGCGTTTTGAGACGTCTCGAAGACGTGATATGGCGCTCTATCAAATGCAAGTGTTATTATTATTATTATTATGTCATATTTTTTATCAACATCAAATGAGAAACGGACAAGGAGAAAGAGAGAGAGAGAGAGAGAGGGAGATGGGTGGGAAGTCGTCACTGTTTATAGAGTATTTTGGATGGAAATAACAGAATAATAGACACAAATAAAATTCCCTTCGAATCAGCTGAGACCGGAGAGTCAGAATGCGCACTGTTTAGCAAAAGAGTCTAGTTTTCTCTGCATCTTAAACCACCCTGAAACAGTGTTAGCATTTATTCTAACCTCATGTTGAAGCCACAGCTTTAAATATTTACTTTAGACTTTAGTGAAGCATTAAATTAACACTCCCCAGATCTGCTTCGGAGAATTTTCTTTCCCTTTCACTTCCTACCTCCCTCCTTCTCCCTCTCTGTTTCTCTTTCCTTTCGTTTCATGTGCAATAGTTATTTTCAAAATGTTTTATTGTTTTTGTTTGCATGCACTCATTCGATTATTAATCACTGGATTTCTCACATGGAGTCATCGCGCTCTCTCTCACTCTCTCTCTGTTTCCAGGCTTGTTCCATCAACCCTATATAATCTGCGCAGTGGACAACTTTCACTCTCGTTGCTCTCTCACTCTCTCTCTCTCGCTCTCTGCCCTAAAGCAACACTGTGCCAAACAACACCAACAACAACATTTATGCAGAGCCCCTCACGAAGGGTTAGCATCCCAGAACACACTTAACCATCCATACTTGATGTACCAATTTGTGCTGTTCAAGCTTCCTCAGTTGGCAACAGGTAGCAATCTCACCCTCCGAATCAGAAAGGTTGTAGGTTCAAGTCTTTGAGCTCACAGTCCAGGCCGACACATCAACATGGTGCTGGGGGGGGGGTGCGCGTGGGGTGGGCATTGGAGTTGAGTCCTGTAGCTCAGTGGTTAGAGCACTCGCTTTGCAAGTGAGAGACCTGAGTTCAATTCCAGGCAGAGGGCGAAACCTTGGCCAAGTTTCCTTACTCCACACAGAGCCTAATAATAATCCCTCCAAAAACAAAAACAATAATAAATCGGTCATTTTCAATCCACGACTGTTTGTGGGACATTGCTGTGCGCAATTGGCTGCCGCGTTCGCCCACAGATATACAGTCAATTCGCTTTACAGTGTGTGCTGTGAAGCGCTTTGGGACGTCCTCCCGACGTGAAAAGCGCTACATCAAATGCAAAGATTATTATTATTATTGTCAGAGGTGCCATCTTTGGGCTGAGACGTTAAAATGATGTCCTCGGCTGTGCGCTCTGTTCAGGTGGACATGAATGATCCCGCCGCGCTATTTCTGAAAGGGAAGGGAGTTTCTCTCTCCCGGTTTCATGGCCGGTAATTCCCCCCCGAGTAAACATTAGTCATTGTGGGTCGTCGCTGCGTGCAAATCGGCTGCCGCGTTCACCTACAGGACACACGGTCACTTCACTTTACAGTAAATCCTGTGAAGCGCTTTAGCGTACCGATGTGAAAGGTGCCGTATCAAATGCAAGGATGATTATTATTATTATCAATATTATTATTATTACAGTTTAAATCACTCTGTGGAGGTCATTTCTAAGTGGTTTTCAGTGATGCTCAACCAGACCAAAAACACCGCCACGTCACCTGTGAATGGATGTGACTTTATTTAGTACATTTGCCCTTCCGAAAATAGCTGCTTTTCGGGGGAGGTCGATATTTTGTTCACCGGGTATTTTGTCAGCCGTTTCTGAACAGTCGTATTAACAGTCCCAGTTGCACCGATGACAATAGGAACTATGTTTGTTTTACATTACCACACACGTCCACATTCAATTTGCGGATCGATATATTTCCCGATACTCTCTAGTTCCTTATTTTTCACGTTGTAATCGTTTGCGATAGCCACATCAATAATAACAATCCTTGCATATGATATACCGTCATTTCACATCGTCAAGACATCTCAAAGCACTTCACAGGATATACTGTAAAGTGCAGTGACTGTATATTGACGTCTACAATCTATTTGATTTTTTTATGATAAGATCTGGTTCGTTAGATGATTTTCCTGTCCATTATTATTAGCAGATAGTAGTAGTATTATTATTACATTATTACAGTTTAAATCACTCTGTGGAGATAATTTCTAAATGGTTTTCAGTGATGCTCAGCCAGACCAAAAACACCGCCACGTTACATATGATTGGATGTGACTTTTCTTAATACAGTGATCTGTCTGGGATAGGTGAGGCGCACAATATAAATACAAGTTGTTGTTGTTGTTGTTACTTTTCTTAATATATTTGAGCTTCCTAAAACAGCTACATTTTGCAGGAGGCGGATATTTTGTTCACCAGGTATTTTTTTGTCAAGCCATTTCTGAAGTCTTAGTATTATTATTATTATTATTATTATTATTATTATTATATGTTATATATTAAAGCTCCATTTAAGAATTTTCTGCAGTTCCTGTGGGATCTCACATGTCTCAGACTAAAATGGTCTCACAAGTCCCAGACCTCAGACTCCACACGTGTGGTTCTAATCAAATACATTTTAGACGTCAGTTATATTTATTTCGCTCTCTTTCACCCCCACCCCACCCCCACCGTGTCTGTGTTTGTCAATTTCATTAATATATATATTTTTAGAAAAGTCAAAAAAATTCATATTCCCTTTAAAAAATTAATATCATCTTAAAAATGCACTTTTTTAACGAAAGTACGTTAGTCAAGAATGTCTATGATCCAGAATTAATAATAATATAATGAATATGATGCAGATTATCATGACCGTAAGGGTTTTTATTTTCCTTATAAGAGCTAATATAATCATAAGCATGAGATATGTCGTGGATCAAGGGGTGTCTTTTTTTTGCTGCCGAAGTGAGTGAAAATGTAAGTTGAATTGATTTTAAAAGTCAGCATTTGATGTCGCGTTTAAGTGTCAAAGGTTCTGTTTGTTAGAATCATCCATCAAATTGGCTCATTTTACGTGTACAATTGCAACCGGGATCCTTCTTTATTAACTGCACATTTTTCCTCTCTTTCCCTCTCTCTCTCTCTCTCGTTCCCACTCTCTTTCTCTCCCTTTCTTTCTCTCTCTCTCTCTCTCTTGGTGGTTGGACGAATGAGACAGTTTAAACTAGAATTAAGAAACCAAAGCAACTCCTGGGGATGGAAAGAGAGAGGGAGAGGAAGTGAGAGAGACAGAGAGAGGGGGAGAGAGCACGAGCGAGAGAGCGAAGGAGAGAGGGAGAGAAAGAGAAAAAGAAAGAGAAGGAGAGCAAGAGAGAGGGAGAGGGAAGGAGAGAGAGAGAGAAAGCGAGAGGGAAAGAGACAGCGAGAGGGAGAGCGAAAGCGCGAGAGAGCGAGAGAGAGAGAGAGAGCGAGAGCGAGAGACAGAGAGAGAAAGAAATAGAAGCAGAGAATGAGAGGGCAATTTTTACGGAAGGTTTCGCGCAGTCACTGTTCATGAAAGCGGTAGACGTGGGGTTAGTACGTGGAGTGAGCTAACTCAGAGAGAGCCTCCAGTCAATACGTGAGAAACCTGGAGCTCATGTCCAGCCAGTGGCTGGCTTGCTTCTCCTTTTACAGTTTAGCCCGGAGACGACAAATTAAACCATACCGTAAATCTTCTATTATAGGTAGTAAAAGCTAATTTTAGATTTCCTGTCCAGTGCAGCTTCTTGCCTGATTGCTACCAGTTGCGAGAGAGAGAGAGAGAGAGAGAGAAAGAGAGAGAGAAAAGAAAGAAAGAGAGAAAGCCTGAACCTTTTTAAAAGGGCAATACATCACGTTTAGCAAGTTTAACGCCGTTCGGGTTGTTTCTGCGTCTCTCGACAATGGTAATAATAATGCTAATTAAAAATCCTTGCAGTTGATACAGCGCCTTATCGTGTGGCTGAGATGTCTCAAAGCGCTTCACGGAATACACTCTAAAGTGAATTGGACCCGGGCGTTTCGTGGGCGAAACGCGGCAGCTGATTGCGCACGGCAGCGTCCCCCGCAAACAGTCGTGGATTGACTGACCAAATTATTATTTTTTCACTTCTTTTTTTGGAAGAGATTATTACCCCCCCAGAAAGCGATCCGCCGATCGACTACCAACCGGGTTCCAACTTACCGCTAAGGCAAACGGAGACGTGAGAGGGCGAGGAAACTTGCCTAAAGTTTTCGTCCCGCCCAGGAATCGAACCCGGGCCCTCTCGCTCGCCAGGCGGGCGCTCTAGAACCACCGCGCTACAGGTCTCTCAAGCAGCAGATGTGGGTGTAAATTGCAGCCTCACCTGCTAAATCCACACAATATCCATCCTGTTATTAATCCAGACCTTTAATTGTTTGCATGGCTGGAGGTGGTTTCCAGGCATTGCATTCCCTGCAGGTTTTAATTATTATGGCCTTTGCGATTCCGTCGGCTCCGC